TTATGCCTCCTGAAGTTCCTTTATTGTACAGGTTAGTTTTGGTTATCCTGGGTTTTTTGTTTTTCCATATAAAGTTGAGTATTGTCCTTTCAAGGGCTGTGAAGAATTGTGCTGGGATTTTGATCAGGATTTCATTGCTTTTGGTAAGATTGCCATTTTTACTATGTTGACCCTACCTATCCAAGAGCATGGCAGATCTTTCCATTTTCTGGTATCTTTCTTGTCACACATTTCTTTTACCTGTTTAGTTACCCCAAGATACTTTATGCTGTTTGTGGCTACTGTAAAGGGTGATGTTTCTCTTACATACCAACAACAGTTCCCCCTCCCTCCTCTCCTATCCCCTCATCTCCTTCCACCACTCCCCCACATCTACTCCCCAGAAAGGGTAAATCCTCCCACCCAGAATCAACAAAGCCCTAGTACATTAAGTTGACACTGGACCAAGGCCCCTGCATCAAGGCAGAGCAAGGCATCCCACCATAAGGAATAGGCTCCAAAAACTAGCTCATGTTCCTGGTCCCTCTGTCAGGGTCCCACAAACAGACTAAGCCACACAACTGTCACCCACATGCAGAGGGCCTAGTTCAGTCCCATGCAGGCTCCTCAGCTGTCAGTACAGAGTCTGTGAGCTCCCACAAGGTCTGATCAGTTGTACTCTACCGAAGCTTTCCTCTGCAGATCCTTGGGGTCGGGGGAGGGTTGGAATGCATTCTTCTATTACAATTTAGCTTCCCATTAACAAAATAGCTTCTCAGAACCTTCTTTCAGAACTCTGATTCTGCCACACATTGCCTGGTCCCAGTTCTTCTGAAATCATGAAAACTCCATGGCATTCATGTTTACTGTGACTGCATGCTTACTGTGGTGCCCCATAGGCTCAGGTATGCAAACATTGGTCTCCAGTTGGTAGTAGTGTTTGGGGGACGGTTCAGAAGATGAAGTATGTCACTGGGGGAGGGATTTAAGAGTATGTAGCCTGGCCTCTTGGACTATACTCTCAGTTTCTGTATGCTGACGCTGGGGAAACACTCTCCTTAGTTAGTAATCTTTTTTTTTTTTAGGAGCAAATAGGTTTGGATTTTCACAAGATGGAGTGTCCAGTGGATAGGATTTTGCCCTCAGAGTATCTCTTATTGGGCCAGTGCAGCACAGATTTTTCTTCAGGGTTGTGCTGGCTAGTTTTGTCATTTGACACAAGGTATAGTCATTAGAGAGGAAGAGGCTTCAATTGAGAAAATGCCTCCATAAGATCAGGCTATACGCAATTCTTTAAGGGCATTCTTTTTAGTGATTGATGGGGGAGGAACCAGCCTACTGTGGGTAGTGCCACCCCTGGATTGATGGTCCTGGGTTCTGTAAGAAAGCAGGATAAGTAAGCCATGGGGAGCAAGGCAGCAAGCAGTTTCCCTCCATGGCCTGTATGAGCTGGGCCTCCACCATGCACGCTCCTCTCAGCAGTCTTGTCCCCCAAGCTTCCACAGTAGCCCATTAAGCTCTTCTTCCAGCATACTTGGGCTCTTCTGATCAAAATTCCAAACTATTCCACATCCCTCTCACAAAAAAGTATCAAAAGTCTAAAAACCATATGCTCATGTTTATCACAGTAAGTCCTCTCCCAGTACTAATCTGTCTTCTTTTAGCTCCTGTGGGAAAAATATCCTGAAAAAAAAAAGCAATGTAAGAGAGAAATTGTCTCACAGTTTAAGAAAGTCCATCGCTGTGGGGAAGACACAGAAGCAGGAGCTTGATGAATCTATTTAAATTACACCCTGTCGAGAAACAGAGGTGAGTGCTCATGCTCAGCATGGTCCCCCTTTTTTCTTACATTTATTTTTTGGGGGGAGCATGCATGTGACCTGACATGACTCACTGAAGTCAGGGGACAGCTTTCAGAAGTCATTTTCCTCTTCCACCATGTGGGAATCAGGGATCAAACTCAGGTCCTCAGGGTTAACAGTCAGCACTTTTACCCACGGATCCATCCCAGCAGCCCCTCCTTTTTGTATAGTACAGGGTTTCATTGGAAGCAATGGTGCTGCAAACAGTGGTACCTCAGGTAATCTATGATATTCCCCACACGACTACAAACTATAGGTGACTGGATTTCCAGGCCACTGAAATTAATCATCACATCACATGTCTTATTTTCCTTATGGAGTGCTGATAAAAGATTTTCAGTTTTAAAATTCTAAGTGTTAACTGATGATATACAGGAAATTAAACATTGGACACTAGGAAATTGTGTGCCTTACAACCTTACTATCAATGAATTTTTGTTCAAAGAGATTTTTTTCTTGATTCCCAGGATTCTTGTCTTAGTGCATTAAATATGACACTGAATGATAAGGGAATACATTTGCCTTGCTCTGGATATTAGAGAAAACATCTCCATTCTCCCCACTAATTATATATGATTCTGCACATATTTTTTCTCAAGTCTAAGATACCTTACTGAGAGGTGTATGTTCTTGGAGGCCAGAAGGTGTCAGATCCCCCTCTAGTCCTCACCCCGCCCAATTACAAACTGCTCATAAATTTTATCACAGATGGATATTGGATCTTGGCAAAGTTATTTTCTGTATCTTCTTGTGTGACTATTAAGACTTTTCTGCCTCACTTTTGGAGTGGTTGACTGGGGAGATTTGGTCTAGGCCTTTGTTCTCATTAACCAAAAGTTATAAACAGACATGCAAAGTAAGCAAGTAAAAGTTTTATTCATAGAGAAAATACTTGAGAGAGCAAAGCCAGATATATTGGGAACAACCTCAGCAATTACCTTTGGGGCACCTACAGATGGTAGTGAGGATGTTACTTTTTAATGAGCTCAGAGTTACTGAAGAGAACAGATCAGTTAATTAGTTCTAACTTTTATGATAATTATGGACCAAGTCATAGAACCATTGCCTTGGGGACATGCATATTATTCACTTTGTAAATTTGACTGGCAATTGCAATTGGACTCAATTTTCCCATACCGACTGAGTGCCACCAGTGGAAGGTCACAAAACTGTGACCTTTAAACAATGCACATGCGCAGGTCTTTTGTAGCTGGCCAACCATGCATGAACTGATCTCTAAAACTCTTTGAGCCCAAGCAAGTTTTTCCTCGAGTTATTTTTCTCAGATATTTGGCTAGTTATTGATGAGAGATTGTTGATGTAACCCAGGAGGGTCTCACATCCTTCTGTAGGTGTAGATCACCTTGGATTTCTGACCCTCCTGCCTCTACCATCCCATTGCTGGGATTATAAACATATGCCACCAAACCTGGTTTATGTGGTGCTATGATCAAAGGGCTTTTTAAATGTTAGACAAGCACTTTACTGACCTATATCCCAGTACCATAAGTTCTTTTTCCCCCAAAGTGGGTGGTTTAGTATTACTTGTAAGCAGGAACCTCAGGGCACAATCTTTTCTGGTAGCTTAAACAGCAAGCATCCTAAGCTAGGCGTAGTACCACATGTCCGTACTCCCATCACAGAAGAGAGGTAAGTGAGGAATATGACTGATTTTTAGGCCAGCCTGAACTATAGAGTGAGACTGTCTCAAAAACAATAAACAAACAAACAAACAAAAACACCAAGAGCACAAGCTGCTTTATTCTGTGCTAAGGATTCCAAGGGCCTTCTCTAGGCAAGCACTCTATCAACTGAGTTATATCCTCAGCACCCCAACAACTTAAATAAGTAAAAGTATTTCTATTTTTTTAGAGTGCGCTATCACACTTAGACTATTGCTTGTTTTTAAAAACAGGAGTAAATATAGTAAACAAGAAAAGTGTGACTTACAGTCAGTAGAATACAGAGAACAAAAGCACGCACAGGCTCCAAGAAAACCTGATCTAAACTAAGTTTAGAGTTTCCTAGCTTAGAGTCTGTACAATCTTTAGACTATCTTATCTATCTGGGAAAATTATTATATATTTGTAAAATATCACACCATCAATAGCTAGGTTCCTAGAAAAATATAGAATATTCAGCTTTAATGATCAGTTATCTAGCACATACTTATTAAAATTGTTTTCAGGGCTGAAGGTGTAGCTCTGTTAGCAGAGTGCTTGCTTAGCATGAGTAAGGCCATGGGCTCCAATCCACACACAGCAACCTGCTGTCCAGGTACTTAGGAAGCTGGAGGGTTAGCAAAGACAGCCAGGGCTACAGGAGACCTACTTCAAGAAAGAAAAATGAAAATTCAAGCCAGCTTTACACACTAGTTGTTTATATGTTTGTATGTTTTGGTATTTTGAGACAGTCTCTCTACATAACCCTGGCTGTCCTGGAATTCACTATGTAGATCAGGCTGGCCTCAAACTCACAGCAATCTGCGTGCCTCTGCCTCTCAAGAGCTAAGACTAAAGGCATGTACCACCATGCCCAGCTGAATATTAGCTTTTTATAGTTCAATTTATAACACATCTAGAAGTAAAGCCTATACATAAAATAGATTTGAAAATTTACCATTTACTCTATCAGATTGCTTACCTAGCATGCATGAGGTCCTGAGTTCAATCCTCACTACAAGGGAAAAAAAAAAAACTCCAAATTAAATAAGTTTTCATAATATTAAATACCAAATGGAACTCAAAAAGCTTAAATGATAATGAAGCAAGTTTATAAAGAAAAATGTTACATTAGCAAAATTATAAATTTTGTTGTTTTATTGCTAGGGTTTTTTTTCATTTTTTTTTTTTTTTTGTTATTTCAAAATCACACATTCAGAGCTAAGGTACATTAAATGCTTTAAAGGTCTAGAGTATTCTTACTTGCATTCTTACCCACACAGTTTAAAACTTCAACATACTGAATGAATTGAAAAGTCCCATTTTGAACATGTACAACAGCAATATAAGTCATTTCACAAAACAAAGATGGACAGGGTATGGTGGTGAAGATTTATAAACCTGGTTAGAACTCAGAAAACCCAATGCCAGCTGGGATTCATTAGCGTATATTTTGAAACAAAAAAGGAAGATGCACTATGCCTTTGATTTGCAAATAATATTCTTTATTTAAATAGTTGTGTGTTTTCTTTATCCATGGATAAGAAGATTCCATATTGTGTGAAAACAGACCACCATTTTACTGATGGAAGGCTTCTAATCTTATCCGTGTTGGATCTTCTGGATGTCGCAAAGCAATTCCATTCCGCAGAAGCAGCTCAATATATGGTGGCCAAAAGGAATCACTAATTTTAACATATGGATCATGTGGAACATCAAACATTCTATTTATAAGCATCTAAGAAAAAAATTATTAAAAGTGAACTTTTTCTGGAAAAAAAATCTACATACTTTCATAAAACATTCAAGTATCTACCAAAACACACTATTCTCCTTGAACCACTGTTCATAAACATTACTTTCATGTACTTAAGCAATATCTAATCTTAAAGACTATATTGTTTGATAGAATATGTATGAAAATGAAAACATTTCCTAAAACCTGCCTAAGAATATTTACAACTTTCCTACTGCTCTTAATAGAATTCCCTTAGCACAAGGGCAAAAATCGTAAGAATTAAAATTTATATAGATGAGGTGTAGAAAACTTAGCTAGCTACGTAAGGAAGGCCTTGGGTTTTATCCCTGTCACTAAAGGGGAAAAATATTAAAATTTGACAAACGGCACAACATATTTCAAAAGAAAGCTAGCAAGAGTCAATACTTGGAGGAGAAAAGCCATCAATTCAACCCCTTAAAACATCTATTCTTCAAAATAGTTAAGTTAGCCATCATTATTCTCTTCACTCTCTCCGTTAATGTCTCATTGCTTTATCAAGAATGCCAAGAATGCTACCAGGTCATGGTGCACACCTTTAATCGCAGCACTGGGGAGGCAGAGGACAGGCAGATCTCTGTGAATTTGAGGCCAGCCTGGTATACAAAGTGAGTTTCAGGACAGGTCCCACAGCTAGAGAACCCTGTCTTGAAGACAAACAAACAAAACAACACCAAAAAGTCAAGAGCTTACAACCAAATTTGAAGAACTTTGAGTGCACCTTTTCCCAAACCATATTCCACATGAAGTGGTGTCTCTTATTAGGTTCTAAGGTATTGAAAAAACAGGATTACCCCCTAGGTGAGCATCAACAGATAAGTTAAAGGAAATATATATATATATATATATGTGTGTGTGTGTGTGTGTGTGTGTGTGTGTGTGTGTGTGTATACACACACAATATAATTTTATTAATCTATAATAAATGAGATTATGCCATTTACAGAAAAATGAAACTAGAGAATATCATGTTAAGTGAAATAAGCCCAACTTAGACAGACAAAAATCCTGTTTCCTTTATGCAGAATCTAGATTTAAAAGGAGCATAAGTGTGTAGATGTGTGTAACTATGAATGGTGTGAAAGCATCCTAGGGAGAACTATACTGAAAAGAAAGAAACATGGAGAAGAGGACAGAAGAGAGTTGATAAGGGCAAGAAAGACAAAATAAGACTATTTGGTAGAAAGGAAAACAAAATAGTAACTGGGGCAAAAATGAGCAAGGCACAATGATACATGAATGTGAAAATATCATACTCAAACTTATTATTTTGTATGTTATCGACAATTTTAATTAAAAAATAAGAGAAAAGAAAACCAAGTTTTGTCATCACCAGAAAGTTAAGAGAAGCTAGCTAATGGGATCTAAGAATCAATGGTCTTCTACAAACCAACTGGCATTTGCAGAGATATTTCATACAGCAATAACATTTAATTATTTGAAAACTATTGCTTCATAATATATGGTCAAAAGGCTATATGTCTTTTATTATTTTGCCTCTTCATCTACCTCCCAGTGCTTTAACAATTTATGTAATTAGAACTTAGAGGGGTTAGGGATTGCTTAGGTACACATAATTCATGACCAATCATTAATTGCCAGGTAAAAATTCTAATTAGATATTATTATTTTAAGCATTATGAAAAGGCATAATTTATACAAATACAAAGTTTTGTAAAAGTGACTAAAGTAACCTTTCAAGCTCTAATCTTAATCATATATCATAATATCAATATTTAAAAATGAAATAAAAGTGTTGACTACCAACATTTTTCATTCCTAGGGAATGAAAAGCTCAGAATCTCCTTTAAGTATCATGTTAAAGAAATATTTTCATATTTTAGAGTAGTTGTTTATTTTAATACAGTTTAAAAGGTCATAAAAGCTGTACTCAGTGTTACAGCATTTGTCTATGGTAAGGATTTGCATTCCATCCCAATGCCACAGAAACTAAACAAATAAAATATTATTTTACATTTCTACTTTTTATTAGATTACATTAATTAAAATTCTAATACAAGATAGTAGAAATATGCTGAAAACTCATTTAAAATGAGTATGTTAATTTTTCCACTAAACTGTACCTTACCTATTATTTATTTTTGTCATTGATATGAACTGCAGAGACATATTTCATTTTCTAAGTTTTATAATGAATCCATATCATTAAAATTTATAACCATATATTTCAGATAATATTTTTTCTTTTTAGTTTTTCGAGACAGGGATTCTCTGTGTAACGCCCTAGCTGTCCTGGAACTCACTTTGTAGACCAGGCTAGCCTTGAACTCACAGAGAACTACCTGCCTCTGGGATTAAAGGCCTGTCCCACCATGACCCAGCAAAATACATTATATAAAAAAATGTTTTCAAGAAAAGAAAACAATTACAAAGCACACACTACTTACTTTTCATAGACTTCTCTGCCTAAGGTTTTCTAAAGCAATTCATATATTTAATAACCTGGTCAAAGTTTAAATTCATTTTTGCAATGCCAAAGATATCTATTCATAAAACAAAATAAAAGCTAAACTAAAAAGGTTAGACTTAGTCTTTCCACTGTAATAAAGGAAGTATTTACATAAGGAAAAGTTTTTATATTCATTCATATATTTTAGGTACAGGACTGAGTTGTAAACTAAAATTCTATCGGAATAACAGCTCAAGACAGTAGGCTGCAAATAGTAAATGAAGTAAGAAACTCTATTAAAGAATCAAATATTCTTTGGGTTTTTTTATTTTTTATTTTTGTTTGCTTGCTTGTTTTGGTTTTTCAGGACATGATTTCTCTATGAAACAGTCCTAGTTGTCCTGGAACTTGCTCTGTAGACCAGGCTGGCCTTGAACTCACAGAGCTCCACCTGCCTCTGCCTCCCGAGTGCTAGGATTAAAGGTGAGGCACCAATACCACCCAGCCTTTTTGGGTTTTTTTGTTTTGTTTTGTTTTGTTTTTTTAATGTGTAGCACAGGCTGACCTCAAATTTGTGATCCTCCTGCCTCTGCCTCCTTCAACAAATCCTACTGGTGTACGCCACCACAACCATCAAGAATCAAATATTCTTAATAGAAAATCTAGGTAGCATTTTTTGTCATTAAGTCTAATTGTTCACTGAAGGGATAGCTCTAACAAAAAACACTTACCTCTATCATTTCATTTAGTGTTATCAGCTGTGCATTTGATTCTTGAGTGTTTTTCTTTGAGAAATGTAAATAATAAAATAATTAATATTGGCAGAAATCGAACTATGTATTACAAGACAAAACCATTTCTTAGTTATAATTATAGAAGGTAATTAAAGTCAAATTCTGACAGTAAACAACTTTATAGTATACGTTAGATCCTTAAAAACAACAGAAAAATCTTCTAAGACAGTGAAAAGCCTTTATAGTTATTATAAGATATGATCCAAGCTATCCACAAACATACATTTTATTACACATATTGTACATAAGAATATAAAATAAAGTAATATGTTTGAACCAGACAAAAATTCTCCAAGCAGATAGTATTCTATTACATTTCAGAGAGGCTTCTAAAGGAGCCTTCCATTCCTTGTAACCTCCCCATAGATCTCAACAGTTCCTAACATGAACTCAATTCACTGAAATTTTTCCCTTTAAATAACACAGAATAACTCATTAAAAAATTGAAAAATAGTGACTATAATACTCAAGTGTTTTTCATATTAATTCTCCTTAGTTCCTTCGACTCTTTTTCTCAAGACATAGATTTGAGATCCCTCATAACTATAATTAAAGTTAGAAATTAGTCTCCCAAATGATCTAAGTGTGATTCACCCATCAAGAATAAAATAATACTTGCTTTGATAACTGCAAATGCTATTCATTAAATTTCTGGACATCCATTTAATCTTGCCAACTGCTGAGCATTACATCACCTACAATCCCAAAGTACTGGGCCAAGCATGGCACTGGCATGTACCATCAATCCCCAACACTTGGGAGGAAAAAGCAGTCACAACTTCATGAGTTTGAAGCCATCCTGGTCTATATTGTGAGTTTCAGGCTAGCCAGGCTAGATTACATAGTAAAATGTGAAGGGGAAAAGGAGGAAGATGGAGAGAGAAAATGAACAGAGAACAAAACAAAATTATTCCTTTTTTGTTGTTTTTTTCGAAACAGGGTTTCTCTATTAACAGTCCTGGCTGTCCTGGAACTCACTCTGTAGACCAGGCTAGCCTTTAACTCACTGAGATCTGCCTGACAAAATTATTATTGAAGTAAAGATAACTGAGTAAAGCTGGATCTCAAAATCTAACACCTTGCTAAATAAAAGAGAATAGTTAAAACACTATTATTAGTGGAGAAAGCAGTTACAGAACTGACTAGCAAATAGCAAGACATGATTCAATTTAAATAGCTTTGCTGAAGTCTCAGAAATTCTTTTTTTTTTAATTATAAATTGTTTGGCCAATGGCTCATACTTCTTTTTGGCTAGCTCTCTCTTAATTACTCTTTTTCTTTTTTGAAGATTGATTTGTTTGTTATGTATAGTGTGCTGCCCGCATACATTTCTGCAGGCCAGAAGAGGGCAGCAGGTCTCATTACAGAAGGTGTGACTCACCATATGGTTGCTGGGAATTGAACTCAGGACCTTTGGAAGAGCAGATACTGCTCTTAACCTCTGAGCCACTTCTTCACTCCCCAGAAATTCTTTTTAAACAAATCATGTGGTTAAAAATGATTGGTTTAAGGAGCTGGGGAGATGGCTTAGTGGTTAGGAGTTAGGACTGCTCTTCCAGAGGACCTGGGTTCAATTCCTAGCACATGTGGCCCACAACCTTCTATAACTCACATGTATAGACAAAATACCAAAATGCATAAAATTAATAAATAAAAAAAGGCTTTATTACTGGCTGAAATTTAAGAACTGATAAAAATAAGTAATGAATCCAATATAAAATCGGTTAAAAGCTAAAATACACATACTTATCATGGTTTTTTGAGACAATATAAATACTGAAAGTAAAAAAACAACACAAAATTGAATAGGGGTAAACATGGAAGAATGTGAATTTTCTCATTTCCATATCATTAAATTCATACTACTTAAAATTGAGGGATGAAGTTACACAAACTTAGAATATTGAATATTTTTCAGTTTGCTTTCTTTAGAAGTCTCTCTCTAGTGCTCAAATCATTTGAAGCGAAGAAATATTTACCTAAGTTTAACATTTGAACTTCATTTTTCTTCCATCAAAGTTAATTAAAATCACATTTATCATTCATAGTATACTAACAAGTATAAAATTCCACTGCTCCTATTAGCCATCAATGTTTCTACACATACTGTGTTTAGAACAATGATTCCATTTCAGTAAAAAACATGTTAATGACTCAGTAACATGTTAATGCTCAGCAGAGTTTTTAGCTTTCTTTTTTGTGTTCATCATGAAGTTGTGCAGTTCATTGTTGTAAGTGGAATTATTTAACTCGAATAATTTGTGTTTGTGCTGAACCTCAGAAAAAGTTATGTATGCAAACAGAACCATAACTAGGAAATAAGTCATCAGGGTAGGGGCCAAACCCAAAATGAGGTAGGTAGATAGGTAGGTAGGTAGGTAGGTAAGTAGGTAGGTTGTGTGTGTGTGTGTGTGTGTGTGTGTGTGTGTGTGTGTGTGTGTGTGTTCTGTAATAGGAAGACAGTGAGAACTTAAAAAATTCTTTTGCTCCCTGCACGCAGAACAGAATGAGAAGGTGCCAACTCCCAGGCAGGAATGGATCTCAACAGGAACTAACTCTGATAGTACTTTGATCTTATACTTCTAGACTTTAGAGAAAAATAGAATTCATTTTTATGCCAGGGTCTCTGGTATTTGGTCATGGCAGCCCACTAAAACAGTATCAATGCTGGCCAGATAAAGAGAAGCAGAAACAGACAGAGATAAACAGATGTGGTGGAAGGAAAAGGAGAATCCCACACACAAGCTGTGCAACATAAGCATGTGCACACCGTGTGCACACACCATATGCATACAAATAAATAAAATGTAAAACTTGTAAGCGTGCTTTTAACCAACTCCATTTTATTAAATGGTAAAGGAGCCTTAATTTTTTAATAACTATGATAAGATGAAGGTGTATTTGTGTATGTCTCACTACGCCTTCATTCCTTTGCTTCTGTTTACACACACAACAGTTATAATGATAACAATCTAAAAGAATACCTTGTCTAAAACTTACCTTTTTCTTTTTAATAGTTCCATCAGGCAGAGGAAAATGGTCTTCTAAAAACTCACCCAAGGTACATAGGAGCTTCTCCTTAAACTCTTTTATACTAAGCACCTTAGCTTTCAGCTCATTAAAGATTCTAACAATAAAAAAAATAAGACAAATGTTTAACTGATAAAATACATTAGGGCATGCCTCTGTTTATACATGAAGCTGATCAAAGCTGTTGAAACTTCATTTGATCCACATAATTAGATAATATTCTATAACATGTAGTGAAACTAGTATAGCAAGTTAAATATTCAAAAAACAAGAAAGAACCAATAGCTGGCAAAAATTAGGACGAGTGTTACGATTCCTAGTAAACTGAGCCACTTTTTTCAAATTTAAGTTTTTATATTCTTGTGGATTTCACACAATGCTTCTCGATCCCACTCATCTCCCCATCCCTTCCCACTGCCCTCTACCTTTGTAACACCACCCCCCAAGATAAACTTTAAAAGAAAAGAAAAAGTCTTGCTGTGGGAACCGTGGCAGACACAGTGACTCACACAGTCCTTTACCCATATACTGTTATGTGCAAGTGTTCACCGAATTGAGTCATTGGTGGTTTGAGGTCTCTAGTTTTGTTACATCGTCAATACTGGGTCCTCACTGGGGCTCCTCTTCTGTATCCTGTTGTTCTGTGTTATGGAGATCCCATAACTTTGGGTCTACAGGACAACCCCTTCATGTGCTCCAGCTGATCATAGCTGGGGTGGATGGATGGGATGGGCCAACTCTGGTTCTAGGTCTGGGTGTTGGCTGGGTTGGTCAGCCCACCACCTATCCTTCATCCTCAATACCAGAGTAAACTCTCTAGTACTGCCCCAGCTAGTTCAGCCTTTGTAGTAAGCAGCAAGGGGTGGGGCTGATTATCCTGCCCTCATGACCTCTGGCTTGACTTGCCCATACTTAACACTACTGGGCCAGCTCTACAGTGTTGCCAAGTGGAGATGTAGGGACCACTCTGCATAGTGCTACACGTGGTAAGAGACAGGGCCAACTGTCTCTCTAGTGACCTCAGGGGCTGTCTCCCACCTATCACGGGCCTCAGGGGCATGGGGGAGGGGCTTCTCTCCTTTGCCCACACCACCATATGGTAGATGAGAGGCCAGCTCTACTGTGTTGCCCACGTAATGTACAGGGCCCACTCTCCTAGTTCTGCATATGGTAAAGGGGGGGGGGCATTTCCTTCTCCCTCACCACCACATAGCAGACAAAGGATGTGAGGCCAGCTCTCCCACTCTCATGAAACCAGGACAGGCTCACCTGTGTCCCCATCGACAGGATCAGCACAACTATGGTACCCAGGTGAGGTTCAGGGTTTGCTCTCCTGAGTGGTACAGGCAGCCAGGCATGAGGATGGGGGGAGGGTGGGAGCGGGGGCGGGGATCTCTGCCCTGCCCAAACAACAGATGAGAAATGGTGCCAGCTCTCCCACATTTATGCCCTCTGGAGGCTCACCTGCACCATCACCGGCAGGGGCAGCTCTAAATCGTCCAGGTGAGGTTCAGGGATTGCTTTCCAGAGCGCTACAGCTGCCACAGATGGTGGTGTGGGGGCGGGGAAGGGAGGGCTCCCCCTTGTTCATACCACCATATGGGAGATGAGGGACAGTGGGCAGCTTGAACTGGGCCACCCCTAATCTACTTTAATATGAAAAATACTTTCTCAAAAAAAAAAAATATCTGTTTGAAAAAATCTGGAACACAATATTAAGTACCTTGATTCAGAAAATGTCACAACTTGGTTTTTCAAATCGCTGTGCAATATGTTAAGAGATTTCAGGATTTGTTGCTGTTCATCCAACCACTGTTGTTCCCTTTAAACATGGAAAACAATACAGTCAAATACAAATTTCAGTGCCAACTCTGTATCAGTGATTAACAGAAATTAGAAGTTTACCTTTCTAAGTCTTCCTTTAACTTTTCATTCTTTGATTGAATAGTAGATACTACCATTTCAAGATTGCATCTCAAATTTTGGAACTAAAATAAAAAAACTGCAAGTTAGTGATAAGCCTTTTGGCTTATACATAGTTTCGTTCCTGAATGATAATGAAATTGATCTATAATAACTCAATGTAAAAATGGATACCAGAAAGAATTTAAAATGGTAAATATACAGCACCCAGGTGGTAAGTTTTGTCGACACACCAATAATAAATATAAAATATAAGGAGTTTCAAGACAAATATTTTAATTTCAAACTAAAATTAAATTAGCGAACTATTTTTAGTAGACTAGGTCTCTTTTCTAACGAGGTTTAGTTCATTTTTTTTCTTCTGTTATTTATGTTTATGTGTGTGTGCCAGCATGCATGTCTCTATGAGGCTTGTCAGAAACTCTGGGACTGGAGTCCCAGACAGGTGTGAGCTGCCATGCTTGTGCTGGGAATTGAACCTGGGTCTTCTGAAAGAGCACTAACTGCTAAACCATCTCTCCAGCCCCTCTTCCCTAATAAGGGCATCTAAAACTAAAGGCAAACAAAATTAATATGATTCTTTCAGTATTGGTTCAGCCTGTTACTCAACACTCATGGATGAAGGAGGCCGGAATGCAGGTGTGAAGACAACAAAGCGATGCCCAGAAAATTAAAGAATAAACAACTGCAACATTGGTATATACCAGAGATTTAAAAAAGAAAAAAAATGAAATTGTAAGGTGCAAGATTGAGTTGTTGTGAGGCATTATAATGTGGAAAGCTGGCCAGATAACATGTAAGTACTAGAAGGGGAAAAGAAAAGGCCAAATGAAAGAAAAGAAAAAGAAACAAAGAAAGTTACTATCTAGTAAAAGAAAATTCCAGACAGAGCAAAATTTAAATTCAAAGGTACTGAGGCATGGATATGAGATACCTGACCAACACAGAAGGTCATGTAAAACAGATTTACAATAAACTTTGACCTCTTATCTAACACTCTTTTCTTGGAAGACTATATTAACTAGTATTGTATTCTCTGTATTACTAGAGATTCCACTAGCTTTTTTTCTAACTTTAAATCAGTTGTAAGTTACAGATATGCCAGATGTGCATTATAAATTCTAAAGTAACTTAAAAAAAAATTAAGGAAAGAAATAGTAATAACTATTAGTAACTAGTAATCTAATATTATAATAAAATGGCTTTTAAAAAAATACAGGTTAGAGAGATGGCTCAGTGATGGCAGCACTGGCTGCTCTTCCAGAAGTCCTGAGTTCAATTCCTATCAACACAGGACGGCTCACAACCATCTATGATGAGATCTGGTGCCCTCTTCTGGCCTGCAGGCAGAATACTATATACATAAGTAAATCTTAAAAAAAAAAAAAAAAAAAAAAAAATCAATCAATAAATCTTTAAAAATGCAAACTAAACCAAGAAAGGAGGAAAATAAGACCACAGAAAAGTAGGATTTGAAAAAAAATTAAGAGTAGATATTTTATCACTGTATCAATGAGATGAATAACAGGCTAAGCTGAACAATATCACATCAATTCTATATTAAGTACAGTCTAACTATGCAATCAAATTAGAAATTAACACAGAAAAGTAGGAAACTACAAATATATGGACAATAAGAAAATCTCTAATCTATGAGACAAGCAATAAATAGGAAATTGAGAAATTTTAATTTCAGTCATAAGTTACTGTTACTAAAATATAAAAACACATTAAAATTTCTAGGAGCAGGGCTGGAAAGATGATGGCTCAGTGGTTAAGAGGACTGACTGTTTTGTTCTACAATTCCTGGGTTCTATTCACAGCAACAACATGGTGGCTTACAGTCATCTATAATGGGATCTGATGCCCTCTTGTGGTGTGCAGGCGTACATGCAGACAACGAACCCATACTTAAAATACATAAGCAAACAAACCTTTAAAAAACATTTAGAGAATAACTTGTAGCTCTAAAACGTTGTTAAAAAACAAAGGAGCACTCTAATCTAGTTTTCTATCATAAACTTAAAAAAAAAGAAAAGAAGTAAGACTCTTAAGTTAAAGAGATGATGATGAGGAACAAAACTCAAAGAATGTGGGAGGGTGAAGGGACGTGAGGAGGACCAAGGGGACGAACACAATAATGCCCAAAGCCAGCTCTTTGAGAACCCTTAAGTCACTGCTTCAATAGACTAAAAGAAATCTGTTGCAATGGATTCAGAAAGCATGACAGTATTCACTAGCAATCCCTTCATTAAGATAAAAGACTAAGGCTAAGATGGGACTCACTGGCAGAGCTCCTGTCTAACATGCACAGAGCCCTCCCTAGGTTTGCTCTCTAACATCACAAAAACAAACTCTTAATTTTCCTCTTTCTAGTTAAACACATCTATGGTAAATCTACTACAAACTCATTCTATTTTTATTTTGCTCATTCTTGCCCACTGTTTCCATATAAGATCAAAAGGACTGGGTTCAGGGGGCTTCTAATTAGCTAAATACAAGGAGGAGTGGGGGTCTGGGATGGCAGCAAGCACACTTAAAACACAGAAGTTCCATACCCTTTCCTATACACCTTAATCTATACATCACATCTCTTTCATTTGGCTATTTAGCTGTATTTGTGTGTGTATGACACCTTTTATATTAAGTAAGCATATTTCTCTGAAAAAATCTCTAGAGTCTCTCTAGAAAACTACTCATACCTGAAGAGGGGGATAAGCAAATTTGGTGGTAATTAATTGGTCAGAAGTACAACAGAAAACTTAACTACTGTAATTGTCATCTTTGGTGAGACACAGTTTCATGAAATGAATGATCCATCAAAAAATTGAATTTTGAACTGAACTAGAGGACACCAAATTGACACCTGCTCAAGAACCATCTGCTCTAGAATCATCTAGAATCTTCCAAGGAATTAATTTCTGGTGAGGAAAAAGCTCCAAAGCATAACCTGTAATCCCAGCATGCCTAGGGCAATAGGGCAAACAGGAGAGTCCCCAGGAGCTACTGAGCTAGCAAAGCAGGCACATCCAGTGACAGACAACAAAGAAACCCTGTCTCAAACAAGGTAGACGTTTAGGACAATGAGGTTGTTCTCTGACCTCCATCCACATGCACACCAAACACTCTCACTCACACCAGGACAACTATATACACAAACAGCAAAAGCAATAGCTGGGTGGTGGTGCCACCTTTAATCCCCAGCACTCGTGTGTGAGCTCAAGGCCAGCCTGATTTACTGAGCAAGTTCCAAGAGAGCCTCCAAAAGATACAGAGAAACCCCTATCTTGGAAAACAAAAATGACGACAACAATAACAAAAAACCAAACAGCAAAAATAAAGAAAATTCAAATCTCTAAAATATTTAGTTCAATAAAACATGTAAATTTTAATGTGTTTTTGGAGTGGTTCAGCCTAATTCTTATGTCATAAACTGATCTAAAACAGTTCTATTTATAAATCATTTTGGAATACTATAAATCATAAATAACTCACCTCTTCTTTTCCTAATGTTACCAAAACATCTTCAGTCATGGGAGTTACTACAAAAATAAAACAAAAGTCAGTTATTCTCAAGAATTTGACTTTGTGGCTTTCCTAAGGTAACTCTTTTTCATTCTACTTATGTATATCTTTGCTCATATAACCCCCAAATTTATAACATTGGATAAATTTGGTATTTATAAATTTTGTTTTTATATCTTTTCCTTCCTAAGAACTTAAAAGCATTCTCAATAATGCTGAATGATAGACTCATCATAAGGTACTTTTCTCTTTCCATATGATCCTATGTACATGGACTTATATATGGAAACAAACATACACAAACACAAAAGGTTTCTTGTCATTGTATTATAAGAATACCACATCAGATATATATTATTTTCACCTAGCAGAATATCCATGGTATAAAATAATTCATCTAGTACTATAAGTAGTACTAGAATGACACTAATATGTTTTGGATAGGTGTATATAACAAAGACCCATGTGTTGAATGAAGGCTTGGGTGCCAAACTTTGGGACTGATTAGACCTAAGAGGAATTTCTGAGGTAGGTCAATAGAGAGGTGCCCCAAAGGCATTGGAACCTGGTACCCTTTTGCTTCTCTCTGAAGCCTAGCTGCCATGAGTTAAGCAATTTCCTCCAACTTGTACAGTCACCAAATTTTCTCTTGTCACAGGTCCAAAAGCAATAGAGCCAACCAACCACGGACTGAAACTTCTGAAATCAGGAGTCAAATAAACTTTAACTGTCCAAAAATTGTTCATTTATTCCAGACATTTTTCAGTGACAGCTGGCTAGCACAAGTACTAACTCATTTTGACAAATGAAATATAAAGAGTTCTGGAGACTGTTTACAATGTGAATATATACATAGGACTATACTTAGTGAAAGAATAAATTTTATGTGTATTTTGCCATAATTAAACATTTAGAAAACAGAACTTTGGGGAGACCTACAGGACTGTAACAAAAGATACAACATCATATTGCTGGAACTTCAGTAAAGGAGAAAAGGGTTAAGAGGAGACTGGAAAAATATGGAGAAATAGTGTCAGAAAGTTTCTCAAATTTTGCAAGATATAACCCCACATATTTAAGGAAGTGAACATCAGATAAGATAAACCTAAAGAGCCTATGCCACACAAAAGGCAATTTAAAAAAAAAAAAAAAAAAAAAAAAAAAAAACAACTTAAAAGCAGCCATGAGGAAAAGCAACAAAAACATAGACAGAAAACAATATTTTGCCTCACTTATAGGGGAAGAAATAAGAGTAAGTGCATCCCTCATTAGAAACCAGGAAGGCAGAAGCAGCATGCTGGTCAAGTGCCAAGTAAGAGAAGTCTGATTGTAGTCAGTGAAAATAGTCTTTTAGACTGATGAAGAAATAAAGATACTCACAGACTGGGACAAATTTACAGAAATTGTTATTTACTATAAACTATCAAAAAGAATGACTGAAGAAGTACTTGGAACAAAAATAATAAGGTCATATGCCTGATTGGTTTTCCCCCATGTCTTCTCATAAGACTTCCACAATCAAGTGATTCTTGGCCAAGAAACAAAGCAAAATCTTCCCATTCTCCAATGGTTCCAGATGAAAACTGAAACAAAATTAGGTACAACTCCAAGAAAAGACACTGGAGAACCAAGCTGAATCTGTAAAGGTTCACAAACCATGATAGGACTGTCTATACTAAATCACAGTCTTCATCAGTCCTACCAGATGGAATTCAAAAACATGGAGTAAGGGTTGGAATAATAGCTCAGTTGGTAAAATAAATGTCTTGCACTAGGACACAAGATTGATCCCCAGAACCCAGGTTAAAAAAAAAAATAAAACAACCACTGACCACGGTGGGAACGGTGGGATGTAATTATAATCCCAGTGTCAGGGAGACTGGGATAAATTCCTGGGATCCACTAGTCAGCTAGCCTAGTCTACTTGGTGAGTTCTAAGCCAATAAGAAACCCTGCCTCAAAAAACAAAAGTAGATAATATCCAAGGAACGACACCCAAGGTTGTGCAGTGACCTCTACACCCACTTGTACATAGGTATACCCAGCCACATGTGTGTATGCTCTCTGCACACACACACACACACTGAAGCTACCATGATTTTCTACAATCACAGGAAAATACATCATCCTCACAACTTGAGAAAAGCTTTGAAGTAGATCTAAACCTCTTGGTAGTCTTCAACGAGTATCTATTGTTTTAACCTTGAGATCATTAAACAGAGGACAGAACTAAGCTATGTTGATTCCTAACCTACAGGAACTTTAAGATTATAAATATGCTCAGATTCTTGATCTACAAAAACTGAAATAATAATGATCTTTTATAGAACTTTGAAAAAATCTAAAACTAAAAAAATTTAATAACGGTTTGAAGCTAGTCTTTAAGTCTGAGGTTCGTTCAACTTGTCTCTTTGTAGGTTTAAAAGTTTCAATGATGAAAGCATCACTGTTAAGAAACTAACAAAAAGTTCATCAATCATATTCACCTAATGGACTGATGAATGAAGCAGCAGCTAAGCTCAGTATTTAGTAACTGGCTATGTTTGAAATATGAAGAACCCAGGAGAAATTTAAAATGTATGTATCAGTCATCAAATATCAGTTCCTGAAGAACAAGGGATACTATGAGTTGAATATCTTAGCTAAAATCTAGGAGGTACAAAGATTTTTAAGTCCAATGATGCAGAGCCTAGTTTGGGCATATATGTGGAAGTTATTATGGACTGGAATATGTTCTTGACCCCAAATTCATGATTAAAATCTAATACCAAAAATCTCAAAATGTGACTTTACTGGTAAGTAATTAAGCTAGCTTGTTATCACTGGAGTGAAGCCTAACCCAAAGAAAGTAAGACAGAGACAGGCACAGAGAAGCACATATAAAAACAACAGAAGATGACCCAAAGGTCCATGGGTTAAAGGCTCAATCCCCAGAACTACCTAACAAGGAGATGCTGTAAACCTTAAGGAGACGGGACCTTGTGGACAGTCATTGGATCATAGATAGCACGACTCTGGAGGAGACCATGGGACCCTGGTCTTCTTTTCTCTGCTCCAGGGCTAAGGACTGGAGCAGTTTGCTCTGTTGCATGTACATAACCACTGCCACCAAGCAATAGGTGCATCTAATTTAGATCAGAGTTTCTAGGGCATTTCTAGGTTACTTATCTCAGGGACTGCTTCAGTCTCATTGTACTCAGGAAAGCTGAGTACAATGGCCATTTAAAGTCAAGGAGAGCCCCCCAAAGAAGTCAACTTTGCTGATAACTTCATCTTAGGCCGTGTGATGGTTAATCTTTATTGTCAATTGTATAAGATTTAGACTCTCATGGAAGTAAATCTCTGGGCTGATTGTGACAGATTTTTCTATATGAGGTTAATGGAAATGGAAAGGTCCACCCTACATGTGTACATTACTGTTTCATGGGCTAGGATCCCAGATGAATAAAAAAGCAGAAAACAAATTGAGAATAAGCATCCATCTCTCTCTGCTTTATAATTGGACACAAAGTGACCAGCCAATTCTTGTTCTGTCCACCTTACTTTCCCTGCCATGATTGACTATATTCCCTAGAACTCTAAGGCAAAATAAAGCCGTCCTTCCTTAAGTTGCTTTTGACAGGTATATAACAATAAAATGGTTAATACAGACTGCTAGGTATCCAGAGCTATGATAAAATGGGTTTCCCATGTTTAGGTTACATATCCCATTATACTTTGTAAGATCCTTTGTCACAACCTTAGTAAACTAATTCAGAAGTCATTATTATAGATATAACACAAAAGCTTAAAATATAATGCAGATTTAGCATGTAAGACAACACCTGACTAAATCTAAGTGTAACAGTGGTACACACCTGCAGTTCTAGTACATGGGAGCCTGAAGGACAAACACTCTAAGTTCTAGACTAGCCTTAGGCTATGTTTACACAGCCAAAACCCTGTCTCTGAAAAAACAAACAAAACAATAACAGCTGAGTACACTACATTAAAGAATACCAACATTTTCAACAGCTGCATAAGGGATGCTCAAAAAAGGAAATATTGCTAAGAAGTTAATATAATCCTAAAATGGAAAATGTCTACACAGTTTAAGGCAAAATTTAAAATTACAACTGTATACTATATACCTACCTGAAGTGCTAAAATTAAAGGCTAACAAGTAGTAATGAGAATGTGAAACAATTAAATAATTGGCATGAATAAAGTAATGAAACCAAGGTTATAGTTCTTTATCTAAAGAAAAAGAGACAGCCTAGGACTGCTACCTGGAGAATCCCCCAAACTGGCACAAAGCATAACATAGAAAAGGGAGGCTAAAACTGAAAGTGGTTGTGGTGGGAGGAGTCAAAGGAAAATATTAGGAGGATGAAAACCAGAAGATAGATGGGGAAAAAAGACAGAGCAATATAGAAAACCAGATGCAAAAGTACATGCTACAGGGAGCTTAAACTTTCACAGTAATGATAATGATAATAATAAAATATCTACTAGTTAGGAATTACAACTGTAACATTTTAAGTCATCTATTCTTTAAATATAGGCAGAAAATATATTTGGCTTCCATTGGACAAGTCAAGAAATAGCATAAAAACTACATGTTCCCTATTCTAAAAGCATATAATTTTTCCACTGTGCAAGTGTCATTCATTAACAGTTCATGGTTTCTACTGAATTCAACACAAGGTTTTTGAGGGTAAAATAATCACTATAATAAAGTTGTCATAGTCCAGGTTATTATACATGTGTAAAAGGAAAGAAAAATGGAGTGGTTCCTAGTATCAATGACCATGGGCAATTTCAAGGACAGATAGATCATGTCATTATTGAGACCATTAATTTAATACGCCATTAATTTGTTTACAAAAAAACATAAACCTAAAAATGAGAATCTTACTTTCAGGTGTTCTTTCTTTCCAATGACCAAGTTCAGCAGTCAAACATTTCGCTTGCATAATAAGTAATGAGAGCTATTTAAAAAAAAAAAAAAAAAAAGGATATTTCAAGTATTTCTCATTGAATATTGATGATAACATAATCAACACCATAATGCTAATTCTAAAATAGGCAGTTATTGAAACAGCATCACCAAACAGATTCTACTACCATACTAACTATAGCTCATGCATGACTTTTTCAGAAGCTGGAGAGATGGCTCAGAGGTTAAAAGCACTGGCTGTTCTTACAGAGGACCTGGGTTTAATTCCCAGCACCCACACGGCAGCTTACAACTGTCTACAACTCCCATTCCAGGTGATTTGATGCCCTCACACAAACATACAGGCAGGCAAAATACCAATGCACATGAAATTAAAAAAGAAAAGAATTCTGCTTTATGACCAAAACTAAAAGAACCTAAGCACATAACATTTATTTCCTAAATATACCATAAATAAACAAAGACGCTAACATAGCAAGACATCTTCCCTGCTGAAGAAAAGAAAAACAGGATGCTAAGTCCTGCCCGAAATTTCAGTCCAATTTTCGTTAAATATGTTCATTTCCTCCCTGTGATCTTTCAAAAGACTGTAACTGCTTTTAGTCGTGCTGCAAAAAAGAAATGTAAATATTTGCATGAAGATAATGATCAGACTGGTTCCAGAGCCACATATAAAAAGCATTGTAAAAATACAATAGAGTTTACAAAATGTATATACCTTATCCTGAGGCAAATTAAGGTGAGTGTGTTTTGGTGTGATAATGTCAAATTTGATTCTGCAATAAAATTAAACAACCCTTTCTAATAATAAAAGAGCAATAATGTTTTGAAAGTAATAAAATATAAAAGTTTTCTCCATAAAAATGTCTAACTTTTTGCTTCGGAAAAAAAGACTGAGCCAGGTAGAGTGACAGCTTGCAAATCAGCACTCAACCAAGTTTAAGCCAAAGCAGGCTGCATGAGACCCTGCCTTTAAAAACACAACACAGAAAACTGAGTTTGAATGCTAAAGGTACAAAGGAACTATACATGCAGAAATGAGGTATCAAAGCAAACCAGAAACCACTACTTCTCAAAAGGCCTGCTCACAGCATCAGCCCTTGACTTGGAATGATTTCAAGATGGTTTCCAAACACATAACTCTTTAAGAGTGGCTTACAGTGCCAAAACTATTCTGGCTAGATACCTGTTTTACCTTCTGGTATTTTGACATCTGCCAGGTAGAGGATGCCTATATCACAGTTCACACGAAAAATTGTGGACACTAAGTTTCTCCAACGTTAGGCAATGCTTCACATCACAAATTGACAGGCTAATTTAAATCATTCTGTTGTGAGACAGCTCCTGAAAACTTTGTATCTCATTTCCTCTCAACTTTACCCATGCATCCTTCCCCTTTGCAGACTTGCCTGCATCCTTCCACTGTAATAAATCTTAGTTTATATAAGTTTATAGAAGAAGACTATAAACGGAATCCTGTGAGTCCTCTTTGAGAGTCATCAGACTCACAAATGAGCTGAGGACCTATCGCGGTAAATTCTCACTACAAGGACCTGTAACACAACAGACCACAGTATATTCTTTGGCTATCTGTAACTTAGGACAGTACATGTTTACAGGTATATAAACACTCCTCTCAGAGTCAATGCTTGGTGAACCGGATGGAAACCACTTGCATTCCTTTGTAGGTCTAGTGTCCAGTGATTCATATTCAGTAAGGTCTCAATTTCTACATTAAGGGAACCACATTTTCCCAAGAAAATGATAGGTTAATTAACACAATGCATTTTAAAAATGGTATATCCAGTTAGACCTATTATAGTATATAGTATATTGTATATGTACAGACTCTAAAACATTTTTATGAATACAAAAACAAAAAATAACATTAGAAGCTCCAATATTTGGTGCATCAAAGTTCACAATTATTTCTTTTAATGAATTAATCATTTTATTAATATGTAGCATCTCTTATTTTATCTCTTCTAATTAGCTATGGTTTGAAATTTATTTTGCCAAGTATAAGGATAGCATGTCTCTTTACATTTTCTGTTTCCTTGGTATTTTTTTCCCATCCTTGGATATTAAGTTTTGGGGTATCTGCTACATAAATGTGTTACTTAGAGACAACAAATAGTTGGTCATTGGATTTGTTTATTGGTTTTAATTTCTGGTCCGCTAAATTCAATCCCTGAAGCCTGTAAAAGTGGAAGGAAAAACAGACTTCACTAAGTTGTGCTCTGACCTCCTCCTACACACACACATTGTGGCATGCACACCTCCACCCCCTTTACACCCCCATCACATGCATGCACGTGCACATAAACACACAAAATAATTTTTAATTAAAAAAGAATATACGTACTAACAAAGTTGCTATGTTGGAATAAATATAAACAAACTTTTTTCCAAAAAAATAGTTAAGTTTGCTTACCTATTTTCTAGAACAGTATACAAGTTCATACCTGAGCGTCTGAGTTAGTGAGTGTCTCGGTTCCCATGAGTGATAATTTATTCTGACACTTGATTTAAAAAGTAAAGAGAAATAAGTGACATACTTGAAATCCATAGACAATTCCCTTCTCCTCTCTTTTTATACTAGCCCTATACAACACCCTTCTGTAAATATACATACATATACATATATACATACATACATAAATATGTGATATGAATCTATTTAAATTTAAGTTTTCACCCAAGAAGATGAGGAAGGTAGTCAAACAGGTTCCAAAGTAAGTTTATAAAAAGGAATGAGCAATAGTCATACATGTAGCTCAGTGGTAAAGCACCTATACAGAGCCTCTGATTCCTCTACCTCACCCTCCACAGTATAGTGACTACTAGATTAAAGAATTAACACACCCAGTAGCTAGCATGAATTATAAGCTACATAATGGAAAAAATGGGAGGCAAGAGAACAAGAAAGTATTGTAGAATAAAAACAAAATAAGTAATTAAGATCATAAATAAGCCTCCAAGAGACACTGTTTGTCTGACTTTAAAAACATCCAACAATGTTAATGATTGTATTTGGTAGGTAAAAATATGAGTAATTTAGTTCTTATTTGTCCTCATTTCTGGTTGCAGTAATTTTCTGCAAATTTTTAAGTTATTGTTAAATCCAAGTTTTTAACAGAGAAAAAATAACAAAAAAATGAATTATAAAAATTATCTAGTATGTACACTAACAATATACAGAACCAAAGATTTTGCCATATGACTTTTTTAAATACTTCATCTTTCCTGCCCTGACAGTTCAGTGAAAGAACAGGATGCTACATTCATAAAAAATGCATCCTCACTCCTGTTCTGACACTACTGAAGTATTACACATATCTGTGATTTCTATCATATACTATTGCATGCTAAAGAGAAAGTTTACTGAATTAATATAATGTATTAAGTGTCTCTAGTTCATTAAAACAAAGACATATGTAACTTCAAGCTCAATACTTGTATCCATATTTTACTCATAATTCTTAGTTATATATTATTTCTATGTTCTACTGGTCCAAAACAGGTATTAAAATAATTTGTGATTCCCTCTAATCTTACATTCATTAACTTCTGTGTTCTTTTGTTCGAACCTCCTTAAAAACCTTTTGATTCCTCCCCACCACCAGAAAGGGCTCCTCTGTGTAACAATCCTGGCTGTCTTGGAACTCGATTTGTAGACAAGGCTGGCCTTGGACTCACAGAAATCCATCTGCCTCTGCCTCTCAAGTACTGAGATTAAAGGTATGTATCACCACCATAATATTGTTAATGGTACATTATATACAATATTATGAATGACTATTGTACCTATAAGAAAAATAATCTCCTTGACAACCAGAACTACCTTTTTTTTCTCTTTCCACAGTTGATCTAGTACAAAGTTTCTTAAGAGAATACTTTTAGCTCTTAGGTATAAAATACATGTAACTTATAAAATAATAACTATAGGGAAACTAAGTTTATTAAGTGAGTCCTATATTAACTAACCTATAACTTTTATCAATTGATACTTACTTCTTCCATGTCTTTCCACATTTCTTCACATTGTTTAATAAGTTCTTCCTCGGTATCTATAACTTCTGTATCTGGAGTAATATCTGGATCTAGTTCTTGCTGAGTCTCTAACATAGCCTTTATAGTTTTCTTCATCTTGATGAGAAAACTAAAGTAAAGAAAGAATACATGCATTTAACAACCATTTGCTGAAAGTAGCAGTGACTACTAGACAAAAATCCATTGAGAAACATGAGCACACTACTGTTGGAGGGAATATTTTAGTACAGCCATTAGAGAAAAGAAAGAATATAGATGTAACAGCAAAAACTAGAAAACTAGAAACTACTATAGGATCCAGAATTTCCACTACTAGACATATAGCCAAACAAATGAAACCACTATTGAAAAGATAGCTATCTATAATCTCTTGTTTGCTACAGTACTACTCATAATAGCTGGATATGGAATCAACTAGGTGTCCACCAACTGAAGAATCTGAAGAATCGATATATAAAATAATACTCTTCCAATGTAATAGGAGGGTCAGTAGAATAGTAAGAGTGTAAGATACCAGTAGGTGAGTAGATGTGTCGTGAGAGTTTGTGGAAGTCCTGTTTGGATTACTTCTTCCAACTAAGTGAATCACAACTAAGTAATCAAGTTGGAAGGGTACAGAGAAGGAATTCCAAATTTAAGAGCAGATACAGTCAGGGGTGCTGGCCCATGCCATTAATCCCTGCACTTGGGAGGCAGAGGCAGATGGAGCTCTGTGAGTTCAAGGACAGCCTGGTATAATAAGGAATTCCAGGACAGCCAGGACTACCCAAAAGAAAAAAACCCTGTTTCAGGGGTGAGGGACAACTAGAGAGATAGATTATCCCTTAAAGGCTAAGATTTACAACCAAAAATTTAAGAGTAGCAGGGGAATGGTTATATAAGAGAACTTAAAGAATATAATATAGTTCTGGATAGTGGCCCACTTTTAAATTAGTAATTAGTCATCCAAATAAAACAATAATAAGCCAGGTATAGTGGCACTCACCTTTAATCCCAGCACTCAGAAGGCAGAAGCAATTGGATTCCTGTTGAGTCCAAGGCCAGCCTGGTCTACAAAGTGTTCCAGGACAGGCAGAGCTGCTACACAGAGAAACCATGTCTCAGAAAAAACAAAAAAACAAAACAAAACAAAAACAAAAAAATGATAGCATATTTTAAAAGATGACAGTCATCATTTTTCAAGTAAAGGTGACACAAGGTTGGTGGATGGCTGCTGCAAATAATAGCAGTGATCGTATATTATGAGACTTAAAGTTAGGTCATTTCAAGGATGTAGATGGAGGAATAACAAGGAGGACTTCTAGGTTACAATGTCAAGTGAAAATCGGAACAAACACCATCCCAAAGTACTTTTTACTCATTGAATTACGTTACCAACAGGGTTGTAAAACAGTTCTAAATAAATGAGACACTATACCATGTTCCTATGTCCTTTAGTCAATAATGTAAAGATGTCAATTCTCCCCCAATTTCAACTATTTTATCTTAAAGTCTAAAAGGCGACAAAAAAGGTCCCCCCCCCTTCATGAGTAAATTTTAAAACCTATACACAAACATAGAGATCCCAAAACAGCTGTATATAACTATACTAACAGTTAAATTTAGAACCGGTTCATGAACAGGCAAATTGAAACACGGAACACAACACAGACACAGACACAGACACAGACACAGACACAGACACAGACACACACACACACACACACACACACACACACACACACACAGACGCGCGTGTGCGCGCAGGTCCAAAAAGAATATTCTAATAATGGGAGTCCACCTTACAAATTAGAGTAAAGCCAATATATATTCTGGCTGATGGAGATCTGCTTCGTTCTTTTTAACACAAAGCTCCTTTCAACCCCGCCCTCCCCTCGGCTTCTGGGACACCCCCGTAGGTTCTGGAACGCCGCTGGCCCGGGAGGCTGAGTGGAGCGGGGCGTCCAGTTCCCAGGCAGTAAGCATCCGGTATGGGGGGGTCCTGGGACCCCCAAACCCACGAGCTACCATCCTCGACAGAAAACTGGGGCTGTCACTGCGCTCCCCGACCCCGCTCACCGGGCCAGAGCCAGCTTCACCGCCCGCCGGCACCGGGCGGCCTCCTCCCTCCTTCCCTTCAAAGCAGCCGGGCCGCGTCGTTTGCGCGCGCTGCTTTCTGATTGGATCCGCGCCGGCTCAGCCCAGCCAATCAGGAAACGGCCTCTGCCGCCGCCGGAAGGGCTGCGCCGCCGCCGCTCGGGTGTCGCGCCTCTCTGACGCGTCGGGCAACATGGCGGCGGAGAGCGGCAGCGAGTCTCAGCAGAGGAGGCGGAGGCGCCGGGACCCGGAGGATCGAGACAGAGCGGAGCCCGGCGAGCGGGAACTGGCGGCGGCGGCGGCGGCGGCGGGGAGCGAAGAGAACGAGGACGAGGATGGAGAGCGCTGGGTTGGGCCTTTACCGGTGGAGGCCACCCTGGCCAAGAGGCGGAAAGGTGGGTGCGGAGCCGGCCGAGAGCGAGCTGGGGGCCGCGCTGGCGGCCTGCGCGGGTCGGTGCGGAGCGCGCTCGCCGGCGGGAGTGAGGTCGCGGGCTTGTGCGCTTGGAACGCACGGCCTCTGCTCCACACTTGATGGAGCTGCGTTTTCAAAAATAGCTAACGCCGTTGGTCCCTGACCGGCTGCCGTAGGTGCCACAACTCGAATTTCGACTTCTGTGTTTGTGTGTTTCTGTTGACCTCGCAGCTGCCGCGTAAAGTTGGGATCCCTAAATCTTGATGAGCAGGTGTGGGGGAAGGAGTATGGCTTTCTCAGAATCATAAGGACTTCAGTCCTCAGCCCTGACTCATCTACTAATGACTCTTCAGAACCTAGGGGATGTTTCTTATGTTTGCTGGGTTTGAATTTTTTTTAGGGTTGGAAACAGGATAAATTAAATTTTGCTGTTATTTCCTAAATGTGCTCGGTGTGTGTGTGTGAGTAGTATAGCTCCTTTAACCAGGTGTGTGTGTGTCTGTGTGTGTCAGTAGTAGCTCCTTTAACCAGGCTAGCTTTTTAACACATAGCCTTCTAGGTTTTAGGTGCAGTGGTTGTTGAGTATTGTCTAATGACAACTTTTTAGTTCCTTTTTTTTTTTTTTCCCCTGCAGTGTTTACCACAGCAACCTTTGCCTTCATGGCACTTACTTTTTGTAGTTGTTATTGTGTGTGCTGATGGGGTCAGAGAGGTAGGAACACACACACCGTGCTATAAGAGTGGAGGCCAGAGGCCAGCCCTGTGGAGTTGTTTCTCTACTTCTACCTTTGTGTGGGTTCCAAGGATTGAACTCAGGTCCCGGACGTGGGCAAAACACCTTTACTGTCTGAGCAGCTCACCCATCTCTCTCTTCTATATGTCCATGTTCCCTTGAACATATTCAAAGGAATTAACAATGAAAGCTATGTGGAACAGATAGGATAAAATTTATTACAGAATGCTCCCAACAGTGGCATTAAAACGATAATGGAATACTACTTTTATGTTGAAAAGTGCCAAAATAAGCAACCCAGGATTCATGTGAGACTCCAAGAGTTCCTAGGCACCTTTTGCCCAAACTTGACAAGTGCATAGCCCTCATTTTCATTGTCATGAGTTCTTAGAATTACAGCATTGATAGTCTAGCTCCAAGCTGAAAACTAAAGAAGGGAAGAAAGGGAAACATTTTAAGGACATTTCTTATTATCACGAAACACTTGGACCTTATCCCTTTATGTAGCCCATGTGGTCACTACAGAGGAATGTGAGAAAGACCTTTTAATCGAATGTTAATAGGCACACATAGAAATGGGGATTCTGTTACTCAAAAAGTTAATGGAAAGTAGTTTACCAGACATAAAATTTTGAGTGTGCTATGTAGCAGTACAGGAATCTAATGGTTTGTCATGTTTAATTTACCAACTTTATATAGGAATGTTTGATCATTTGGAAACAGTACCTTTTTTAAAATTGATTTTACCAGTAAAATTAGTCCTAATTTTCCATTTTGCCAGGTGGTATACTGCTAGAAAAATTCCTCAGGTGCACCCAACTAGATTTGCTAGGATTTCCTCAGCTCTAAACATCTAAGCGTTTAGTTTTGTATTCATGCTTCAGTTCCTGTTCAATGGCAATAGGGGGTTGCTGCCTTAAAAATAAATACACATCTTACAAACATCGGTTAGCTTTTTAGTTAAATTAACAATAGAAACTGGAATCCATGTGGTTGTGGAGATTGTGATATTTTCATAAGGCTTTAAGTCTCTGAACCTTTATATTAAGCCAGAACTGTTCACAATTATCAAAACCTTTGAAATGGGAGCTAGACGTATAACTCAGTCATTAGAAGCGCTTACTACTCTTCCAGACCTGTTTGATTCCCAGCACCCACATGAGGCAGCTCATAAACCACCTGTAATTCTAGCTCAGATGGATCTGGCACCCTCTTTTGGCCTTGCTGGGTACTTGTGCACACACGGTGTACAATGGCACAGACATAAAAATCAAGAAACAGTATCCATAGAATCCCTGAGAACCTAGCGTAGTAATTTGTGAAATAATGATATAACTGATACAACATACTGTATTTTATCTCATTTGTTGATTGAAAAATTAAAGTTTAGAAGAGAATAGAAAGTTTACAAAATTCTAAATAACATGTTAATTTCATTCATTAAGTATAATTTTTACCCCCTCCCCCAGTTCTAGAGTTTGAAAGAGTCTATCTTGATAATCTCCCCAGTGCATCCATGTATGAGCGCAGTTACATGCACAGAGATGTGATCACACATGTGGTATGCACCAAGTAAGTGTATCCTCTTTATTTGTAATGTTTTAATTTTATTATATGTGTGTGAGTGTTTTGCAAATGTCTGCTCTACCTGGTTCCTACAGAATCTAAAAAGGACATCCAATCTCTTAGGAACTGGACTACTTATAGGCCTTTGTAAACCACCATATAGGTGCTGGGAATTGAACCCAGGTCTTCTGAAAGAGCAGCCACTGCTCTTTACTACTGAGCTATCTCTCCAGTAATTCATATTATACATTCAGAAAAAAAAAAATCTAAAGCTTAATTATGAGTGGATTTACAGAATTTGGGGATTTT